AAAGGCATTGTCTTTGTCAATCTAGAGAATTATTTTTATGAATGTACATAGGTAAGCAGAGGTATATGTACTGCTCAGTCTTTTCCTAGAGACACTGCATGGTTATGAGAGATTTTAAGTAGCAAATCTCCTGCTTTGAATAGTTATGCTCCAGCTACTGGCATACACCTTGTATTTACACTCCAGTCACATAGAGCTTATGGAGCTTGTTGGGGCCCAGCAGAATATTTGGAAGATCAGGTGTTACAACCTTCCTCTGCTGTTCATTCCCCATGTATTTGTGTTCATCACAGAACCACAGAATGGGTTGGGCTGGAAGGGACCTTCAAGACCATCCAGTTCCAACCCCCTGCATGGGCAGGGACACCTCCCACCAGACCAGGTTGCTCCAAGCCCCATCCAACCTGCCCTTCGACACTGCCAGGGATGGGGCAGCCACAGCTTCCCTGGGCAACCTGGGCCAGGCTCTCACCACCCTCACACTCCACAATTTCCTCCTCATGTCTCACCTCAGTCTCCCCTCCTCCAGTTTTCATCCATTCCCCCTTGTCCTCTCCCTCCCTGCCTTTGTCCAAGTCCCTCCCCAGCTTTCCTGGAGCCCCTTCAGGCACTGGACGGTGCTCTAAGGTCTCCCATAGCATATCAGGTGGAGTGACCTGCTGTTCTTCAAAGTCATAAGCAATACGCTATAAATAAGTGTAAAATACTGCAGATGGAAGAAGACAGCAAAAAGCTGTGATATATTAGGTGTTTTATCTCAAAAAACACTCGTCACATATTTTCATATGCAAACATTCAAACTTGTTTCAAGTGTTTAAAGCTTTGCAACTGAAATACCTTTAAACTATTTAAAATACATACACGTATTTGGTCAAAGTGACTTCAGTGACCTTGCTTCTATAAATAAAAGCATGAATCTTAATTTAAAAAAAAAGAGGGTTAGTTTGCTGATACTGTCTTTGTAATAATTCTTGTAAGAACAATTTGTCTAATGAAATGAGAAATTAGATATATTATCTTTTATATAGATATATACATAAATATACACAGCATACAATAAGAAACTCATTATCCTGCATATAAGTAAAATCAACAGGAACTTACATTAAGCAATAATTTATTCTTACAGATTCTGATACAAGCAATCCTATTTGTTAATAATAGCATTAATGATATCAATAGCAAAGAAGAAGGATGCACACCTAGGATCCCACCATACTTCAGAGGAATTTCCCACCCAACTCCTCCAGAAGGAAAAAACCCAGAACAAAGGCAGGCTGAGAGGGATGCCATGCTGACCCAGGCTGCTGCCAAGCCTGCAGCTCTCACCAGCCTTACAATCCATTCTATCAACTTGCTCCAGACACCAGGCTGCAAAAACACCAACAGCACAGTTATTCATGCCTCAATACTTGTTGATTTGAGGCAAGAGGGCACTAGCCCTAGAAAGAAGTAGCTATTAGACCAAATGGAAAACACAAGTATTTTGATTTCCTCACTGACCTATCCTGGATGCAGGGCAGACAGATGAAGGAAGCACATTTTATAATTCGACAGTTCAAGGGAAAAAAAAGAATACAAAAATAAAAAAAGTAGTCCAGGTTCAGACTACTTGTCCAAGTTGCACTATCCCACAGGAGTTAAAAGGAGGGCAGCTCCAGTTCCCAGGAGAACCTTTGGGTCTGAAGTTGCTCCTCCTGCTCTGGGCTCTGTCATTTAATAATTTGGCAGATAATAAGGTTTAGACAGCATAATGGTACATATTGCTATGGCCTTAGATTGTTTCATATCCCAAAAAAGGGAGATAATGTAATACAAGAGTCCTTTAAGCACTGATACTGTTCTGAGCAGGATTTCATATTTTTATAATATTACTAAGCTATTTACCTTTATAATCACTGCTGCAAGCCATGAGTTCTATGGGATAATTATATTTAATAGTTTGCTTTATCTGCCATCTTCATTGCAGAGATTTGGATTAAATTTCTCTTAGCCATGAAATCAAGAGAAAACCATGTCATGCCTGACAACAGACCACAGCATCCAAAATGGAAAACCTGGATTGGATTATTTCTTCCACACATGCAGATGCAAGGTTTACAACAGAAACTTTAGGTTTTGAGTAGAGTCATAAGAACCAAGACTCACCACTCTATATTCACAGCATCTAGAAAACTTCCCTCTTAGATCTACTGTGTAAAATGGAGTTAAAAAGCAGCTTCTAAAGACTTTCTTAAAATAATGTATTTGATTTTATTTTGCTTAACTTGTTATTGAACCTTTACTGCAGCTTAGAATCCTAGAATGCCAGGTTGGAACCTCAAGGATCATCTGTCCCAACCTCTCTAGGCAGTACTCTAGTTGACATGAGGTGGCTCAGCTCCCTGTCAAGCTGAGACTTCAAACTGCCCAATGTGGGGGAATCCATCACTTCCCTGGGAGACTGTTCCAATGTTGGACTGTCCTCATGAGGAAACATTTACGTGTTGTGTCCGATTGGAATCTCCCCAGGAGCAACTTGTGCCCATCACCCCTTGTCTTTTCCATGTGTCTCCTTGTAAACAGGGAGTCTCCATCTTCTTGGCAGCCACTCTTTAAGGACTAGAACATGGAAATAAGGTCTCCCCTGAGCCTTCTCTTCTCCAGGCTGAATAAACCCAGTTTTCTCAGCCTCTCCTCATATGGCAGGTCCTCCAGTCCTCTGATCATCATGTGTGTATACAATTGGTTTCACATCTGTTATAAATTTCACAGCTATTATTGTTATTAATCAAGACAGCTACAACCTTGAGATTGTAACTTGCACTTGCTATATGAAGATGAACATATTTTCTACCAAAATTTTTTGACCTATTCAAAATAAGCTAGTAAAAGAAGTTTCTATACAGTACTAATAGTTGAACATGTCAGTAACTTCATATATAAAAACCTAAAAGGGAGTCATCAGATCTTATATTCTGACCTCCTCCAAGACTCAGGTGACAGCTCACCACCTGTCTGGCCTTTGACTAAACTCTGATAACTTGTGCCTGATAAAACCAAGTCTTCCCTTTGTAGTCTGTTCCAGTGACTCATCATTCTCAATGAGGTGGCTCAGCTCCCTGTCAAGCTGAGACTTCAAACTGCCCAATGTGGGGGAATCCATCACTTCCCTGGGAGACTGTTCCAATGTTGGACTGTCCTCATGAGGAAACATTTACGTCTTGTGTCCAATTGGAATCTCCCCAGGAGCAACTTGTGCCCATCACCCCTTGTCTTTTCCATGTGTCTCCTTGTAAACAGGGAGTCTCCATCTTCTTGGCAGCCACTCTTTAAGGACTAGAACATGGAAATAAGGTCTCCCCTGAGCCTTCTCTTCTCCAGGCTGAATAAACCCAGTTTTCTCAGCCTCTCCTCATATGGCAGGTCCTCCAGTCCTCTGATCATCATGTGTGTATACAATTGGTTTCACATCTGTTATAAATTTCACAGCTATTATTGTTATTAATCAAGACAGCTACAACCTTGAGATTGTAACTTGCACTTGCTATATGAAGATGAACATATTTTCTACCAAAATTTTTTGACCTATTCAAAATAAGCTAGTAAAAGAAGTTTCTATACAGTACTAATAGTTGAACATGTCAGTAACTTCATATATAAAAACCTAAAAGGGAGTCATCAGATCTTATATTCTGACCTCCTCCAAGACTCAGGTGACAGCTCACCACCTGTCTGGCCTTTGACTAAACTCTGATAACTTGTGCCTGATAAAACCAAGTCTTCCCTTTGTAGTCTGTTCCAGTGACTCATCATTCTCACTGGACCCACTTCTCATTGGGATTTTTAACAGGGAAGGAGCTGATTCAAAGGTGCCAGATTAAGTTTTCAATTTAGTATTAATGTTGCTTGGGTTTTGGGGTTTTTTTTTGTTTCATTGATTTGGGTTTTCAGAGAAAAGCAGTATAGCTGTCAAGCCTTTCACACAGACCACCTTGTAATTATAGATTCTACAGCAAAATGTGCTTTGAGAAAGATGCCTCAGACAGCCCAAAACTGTGTAAGGTAAATTAAGACTGCATTTATCACGTTGCACACTGCGCAGAAGTCAGACAGAATAAACAGAGCCTCTCTCAGCTTCAGTGATCCCAACTCAGAATTTCTCTGAACCACTGCAAAGTAGGACAGAGCAAAAATGGATCTATGTACAAGTTCCTTTAAAATACATGTGTATTACATAGAAAATACATCTATTTAATGTTTTATATGCATATTGTATATTATTATTATTTCATTATTATTATTATTACACATATAATGAATGCTAATTATTATTTCCCCCTAGATTCCCCTCTATTGAACCTGTTAATGTCCAGGGAGAAAAAGCACAGTAGTGGGAATCGGGCAGCCCACTCCAAGCCCAGCTCTACACATTCGTTGTGATTAAAAGAAACACCTTAACTCCCTCTTCCCACAGGATTTTTAGCAGTGCTGCTGGACCCGTCGATACAAGCCCTGCCTCAGAATTGCAAGACCTTCTCAAAAACTTGAGGTGAGCAAGAGAACTGCAGTGCAAGTAACTATAATTAGACTGTAACACTGGAAGATTACAACGTAGCATTTATTTTTGTTAGCATAAAAGGTCACTAAATGTAATCCTCTGATGGCTGGACCGCCTCCGAGCCATAAAACCCAGTTTTGATCGTACCGATTCCAGCGGATAAACCATTTACCAAGAAGTAACAACAACAAAACAGGGAATTTTGACAGGCTCTGCTTTAACAGCCTCGCAGCTCGTACAGCTTTTTAAGAGCTAAAAAGCTTCCTACCCCGATTTATAAGCGTTTAACCGGCGCCCCTGAACGCTTATACACAAATCTTTCCTGCTTTTGTAGGAAAGCCAACCTGGCGTGATCACAGCGCTGGTTACATCGGTCAAAACCAGGTGCTGTGAGTGGGACGGGGCCGGGGAGATGTCCCGGGGGGGATGTCCCGGGGGGTGGAGGGTCTGCCGTGCTTACCTGCACCCCGCTGAGGATCGCCTGGCTCTTCTCCCTCACGTCGGGGAAGGGGACGCGCTAGGAGA